CACGCCCACTTGCTGCCAGTTGGGGAGGTGGGGGGGGGGCGGTGGACATGCACCAAAACACTCTTCATTCCCATGTGAAGGGTTTTGAAAATTCCCTCACAAGCCAACGTTCCATCTTTGGCTTCCTTCCTCTGCAACGTCCAGTCGGTCGTCTGCAAGCGTTCAACCGTCCACCGACGAGACTTTGACACAAAGTCGAAATGAAAAGGGATCAAATGAATGACATCATATTTTTCAGTTTTGATGAACTCCCTGCTTGCTTTCCAATGTGGAAAAGAGCGGCTTGATCAAATCCTACGTTTGACCCGCTCGGTTTAGTGCGCGAGCGTTTTCACGAGCAGCCGCACTGGTCCACAATCATATCGTGTATGTCTTTTTTGACGATCATCTGCTCGTCGTCGAAGTACAGCATGGACATGGCGCGCAGCCGCGTGGGCACGCAACATGACTTGACATTCTGGAAGGGTCCGGAGCCCCTCATGCGGTACTGGTTGATGACGGCGGTGTGGAAGGAGAGCGCCGAGCCGCCGACGCTCGCCATGTGGTTGGGACAGTCTCCCTCGCAGTAGTTGGCATGGTAACCGGACGGCGCGATAATCCAGTCGCTCCAGCCGATGTCCTGAAAACTCACGTAGAATTGCTGTTTGCAGCACGTGCGCGTTTTGCCGTCGCACTCCAAACTGCGAGCCGTCCGGCGCCGAGCCGCTTCCTCTCCGGCGCGCAGCGCCACCATTAGGAAGGGCCGATGGGATTGGTCGCCGCCGGCGGAAGACAGGACCGGCGTGGCGCCGGCCCCGGCGCAGAGCGGGCAGGACAGCCGAAGATGCAGCGGCCTGTCGCCTCGGTCCAGCGAGGACTGAACGCAGCGCGGCACGGCCAGGACGTGCCAGCCGCTCCGACGCGTGTCCGCCATCTTCTCCGAGGCGGGCGCGTCCTGCTCAGCCTGGTGGAGCTGCAGCTTCACCTTGCCTTTGGCCCGACTTCCCCTCGACACCTTGAGGAAGATCCACAGGTCGGCCTTCTCCACCGACGCCCCCTTACCGCCTTCCTTGGAGAGGTCGAAGGTCAGGGTGTTCCCGGCCTCTCCTGGCACACAAAAACACGGTGACACATAGCGCGTTAGCATCACTTTGCGGTATTAGCAGGCATGCTAAAAAAAGCCCCCAAAGTGCCCCTTTGTCTCCTGTGCGGACTAATTAGTGAGTCTGAATGAAATCATTCTTTCTTTCGTGCCTCCCCCTCATTAACGAGTTCTTTCACAGGGGTCGCTATTAATATCTCGGCTCTGTGCCCTCCACTCAATGCTCATTACGCCGATGTGTTTGTGTGACACATAAACTCGACAATGTCCCGGCTTTCCCGTTCGGGCTGCAAGTGGGCGTCTCGCTGCTGCTGCCAGAGGTGCACCGCAGAAAGTCAGCAATGAGCTGGCCCTCGGCGTGCCCTTTTGTCGTAGAATTCTCAGAATACGCGCAGAAACACACACTTTGTCGGGATGGTGTTGACAATTTTTGGGAAATTGTGTCAGTTGTGAAAGTGTTGTCTGCATCCCTTCCCTCAAAGTGAAAAAAATAAAGCGATCAACATTTCAGCTATCCTACTTTGAGGAGTGGTAAAAAAAAAAAACTGGACATTTTTCCGACCGAGATGATAAATTGATCACATTTTTGAGTTGACTCAACAACTCGACCCTCACCTGTCAGACATAACGTGTTTAAAGCAAACATCACCCCTCGAATGCAACAAAGTATAGTCAAACCTCGGTTTTCATCCACAATCCGTTACATAAGGCGGTTCGAAAACCGAAACCACGCTCTTTTTAAAAAAAAAAAAGTTTATTGAACACGTCTGCTCACAATGGAGAAAGCGTCACTTCCTCGTCTACCCAAGGAAGCGTCATTTCCTCGTGTCAGGAAGGAGTCAGGTGGTGCATTCAAGTGCGCTCAGTTTGTTCGAGAACCGAAATTTGTTCGTCAGCCGAGGCATAAAAAATTTTTGGTCGAAAACCGAATTGGTCGAGAACCGAGACGTTCGAAAACCGAGGTTTGACTGTATGTTTATACGCCCCACGCCATGAAGCAAAAGCAGCCGTCGGCACACGGACCACGTCAAGAAGTCGCTTTCTCGAGCGTTTGCCCGTTCACTCACCGGGTTCGGCAAAGGCGATGACCTCTGCGGCGGCAGGCGCCTCGGGGTCGGTCCCGTCCACTTGGACGTCCACGCTGCCGTCGTTGGCCACGCGGCCCACGTGCAGTTTCTTGATGGCGTTGAGAACCGCGGCGCGAGGAAGCGTTTGCGTCAGGTTGGGTCGTGTGCTCAGGTGGAGCATGTTGAGGATGTGACGCTTGACCGCGTCGACCATATCGCTGGAGTTCTTCCTCACCTGGCCCACAGTGCAAGAGGCGCACTTGGGGGACTCTGCCCCCTGTTGGATGCCCGCAGGAACTTCCGACTGGAGGACCAGCGAGCCCGACGGACAGAAATGGACGACGACGGTCAGAGCGAAAAGTGCTGCGGGAAGAGAAGCGGAAGTCATGGTGATGTCCCGTAAAGGCAACAGGTGGCGCGCACTAAGTCAGTCGGTGCGGATCTGCTTCCATCAAGCTCTCTTTCTCCCAGGAGCTGCTCTACGTTGATCACCTCGGGCCTCAGGTCTGCTGCTTGTGAGCTGCAGTCCTCACATACACTAATTATACTTGGGTGTCCATTTGATCCCTCCCTCCACCACCACACAGGAATTTCCCTGTGAGTCAGCGACATCACACACACACACACACACACACACACACACACACACACACACACACACACACACACACACGCACACACACACACTTTCTCCTGAATGAATGTCACGACAGAGGAGGAGGACCACGATGCCTCCCTGATTCATTCATGCCAAACACACACACACACACACACACACACACACACACACACACACACGCGCGCGAGTTAGAGCGTCATCTTTTATCATCATCGCCATCGCCTCACGTGGAAGAGAGACCGAATTTCTGTGAGAGTCATTTTTAGAAAGACAACTTGGTACGGTCACAGAACAGATGGAGTGGTGCGCGCGCACACACACACATATACACACACCCTCTGCTGGTGGGTTTCAAATGTTACATCACATCTTCATGTGGGACTGAAAGTTTGGCATTTGGATAAAAAAAGGATTGGTGATGATAGAAGGAAAGACCTAGTGGGAGTGTTCCAAAAATGCAGACTCTGTCATCAACCAAAAGCATGCTATGAAGTATATCGCAAAATTTGACGTCTTTTCAGCTTTTTGTCAGGTGAACGCCTCTCGACAGCGTCAATCCAAAGGCAGAGTGATTGAGCTTTGACACGTGTATCCCTGTCGTTTTGTATTTGTCAGCTGTTGATGTCCTCTCCCTTGTTTCCACAGTTTCATGAACTTTTTGTTGTCATTTTTCTTCCTGTTCTGCCTCGACCATTCATGAACCGGACGTGAGATGACTCTTGAAGCAACAAAAGATCAAGAAGGTGTCAGGGCCGCATGGCGTGTCCTCCTCCTGCCTCAAAGTCTGCGTTAAGCAGCGAGCTCCAGTCTTCACTCAGATCTTCAATAGATCCTTGGAGCCACATGAAGTCCCATCCTGCTTTAAACATTCCCAGTCCCCAAGAAACCTGCCATATCGGCATTGAAGGCCTGCAGGCCTTGCTGGTCCCTCTAAAGCAGGGGTGTTGTCAAACTCATTTTTTGTCGCGGGCCACATTATAGTTCCCGGTTACCTTGGAGGGCCGGTATGACTGTGAAACCATATAAGGAAGTCAAGAATAATGGTTTATTGAACTCTAGTTTAAGTTACTGTAATGAGGGTTTTGGTAACAAGAAAACTTACAATAGCTCTCTTGTATATTACATACGAGAATTTGAAATTTTGGTGAAAATTTTAGCAAGCACCATAGAAGTCAACATGTTTGATTTGCTTCCGCGGGCCACATCAAATGGCAGATCTGGGCTTGAGTTTGACACCTGTGCTCTAATGAGTGCAGCAGGACCGCTACTTGCCCCCCTGCAGTTTGCCTCCCGAGCAAACAGGTTAACATGAGGCTTCAGTTTTGTTCGTGTTTTGTTCATACATTTTGTCAAGTCCACCCTGCTCCTCCCTCTTGCCTGCTTTTTGGGGTCCTCCACCATCACGTTCATGACAGTGGATGTGTAAATTTCGACATTCATGTATAACGCCAATGCATCTTTTAGAGGAGGCACAAATATGCCAGCAAGGTAGTGATGGGATTTTCGGCTCTTTTCGGTGATCCGGTTCATTTGGATCGGCTCAGCTTTTTGGCTCTCAAACGGCTCTTTTAATTTTAGCTTTTCTTTTAAATATTTATGACAAATTTAGCATACATTTTGATAAATGACTTGGTGAACTAAATATTGCACTCTACTGACTGCAAAGAGCAACAATTATCAGGCAAAGAAATGGCTTTTTACTTATTTTATTGAACATTAAAAAGGCTCCAAAAAATAAAAAAGCAACAAAATTAAACTTCAACCAACAACAATCAAACATACTGCATCATAACAAAAATAGTGAGTATTAACTGCAACAGCAGCAGTGAACAAAACAAACATAAGCGACTCCTTGCTTTATTTTAACAAACATAAGGTACTCCTTGCTTTATTTTAAATTTGCAGTCAACAAAACTAAATACTTCAACTTGGAATACTTCAATTTGTCCAGTCTTTGAGAAGACCCTCTCTGAAGGGACAGATGTTGCTACAATGCTCAATCTACTCTCCATGACTTTGATCAAACGGGGGTAGACGGAAGCTCGGTATTTCCACCAGCTCAGTGGATCAGCTGCCCTTGAAATCTGTGGTTCTTCAAGATATGCCCTAATTTAGAGTTGTGTGTTATTGCACGCTTGGCTGATACTGTAAATTAGATTCAGATTGCTTGCCAAACGCCTTTGTGGTTTCCCGGACAGTAGGGGGCGATATGAACTTAAGACATCCAATTCACCAAGAAGAAGAATAAGAACAGACACAAGAAGGGGTACCACATCCGGTTCAATGAGCAAGTTTTCCGCTGTATAGTAAGGTGTTTTTGGCACGAAAAAAAACGACATAGTATATATAGTCAGGCGTTTTTAGCCGAAAAAAACGACCATGTATAGTAAGGCATTTTTATTCGGAAAAAACGACCATGTATAGTAAGGCTTTTTTCGGAAAAAAAACAACCATGTAGAGTAAGGCGTTTTTATCGGAAAAAAACGACCATGTATAGTAAGGCATTTTTATTCGGAAAAAACGACCATGTATAGTAAGGCTTTTTTCGGAAAAAAAACAACCATGTAGAGTAAGGCGTTTTTATCGGAAAAAAACGACCATGTATAGTAAGGCATTTTTATTCGGAAAAAACGACCATGTATAGTAAGGCTTTTTTCGGAAAAAAAACAACCATGTAGAGTAAGGCGTTTTTATCGGAAAAAAACGACCATGTATAGTAAGGCATTTTTATTCGGAAAAAACGACCATGTATAGTAAGGCTTTTTTCGGAAAAAAAACAACCATGTAGAGTAAGGCGTTTTTATCGGAAAAAAACGACCATGTATAGTAAGGCATTTTTATTCGGAAAAAACGACCATGTATAGTAAGGCTTTTTTCGGAAAAAAAACAACCATGTAGAGTAAGGCGTTTTTATCGGAAAAAAACGACCATGTATAGTAAGGCATTTTTATTCGGAAAAAACGACCATGTATAGTAAGGCTTTTTTCGGAAAAAAAACAACCATGTAGAGTAAGGCGTTTTTATCGGAAAAAAACGACCATGTATAGTAAGGCATTTTTATTCGGAAAAAACGACCATGTATAGTAAGGCTTTTTTCGGAAAAAAAACAACCATGTAGAGTAAGGCGTTTTTATCGGAAAAAAACGACCATGTATAGTAAGGCATTTTTATTCGGAAAAAACGACCATGTATAGTAAGGCTTTTTTCGGAAAAAAAACAACCATGTAGAGTAAGGCGTTTTTATCGGAAAAAAACGACCATGTATAGTAAGGCATTTTTATTCGGAAAAAACGACCATGTATAGTAAGGCTTTTTTCGGAAAAAAAACAACCATGTAGAGTAAGGCGTTTTTATCGGAAAAAAACGACCATGTATAGTAAGGCATTTTTATTCGGAAAAAACGACCATGTATAGTAAGGCTTTTTTCGGAAAAAAAACAACCATGTAGAGTAAGGCGTTTTTATCGGAAAAAAACGACCATGTATAGAAAGGCGTTTTTATTGGGAAAACACGACCATGTATAGTAAGGCGTTTTTAGCTGAAAAAAACGGCCATGTATAGTAAGGCGTTTTAACCCGAAAAAAGCGACCATGTACAGTGAGTTGTTTTTAGCCGAAAAAAACGACCATGTATAGTAAGGCGTTTTTATCGGAAAAAAAAACGTCCATGTATAATAAGGCGTTTTTAGCCGAAAAAACGACCATGTATAGTAAGGCGTTTTTATCGGAAAAAAAAACGTCCATGTATAATAAGGCGTTTTTAGCCGAAAAAACGACCATGTATCGTAAGGCGATTTTAGCCGAAAAAAACGAC